AACACCCCCTTAAAGTTTGTACAGTGCGTGCCCTAACACACTGTATACTATAAAATGATAGTCGTCGCCGTATTGTATAAAGGACCGTATTACATTCGGGCTAGCAGGTTTGCAAATACGGCGCTGTTTTCTAATACGGCTACCTCGTGTTCGGCCGTATTGTGATAATAATGCGTTTTACGAAGCGGCGGCCGACTTTTAGCCGTATAGTTCGTAGGGATATTTATCGAGCAAACGGATTATATAATTAATATTATACAAGTTGATAAATATTCTTTATTATAATGAAACTTCGGATTCTTTTCCATATGAACGGGAATAATCACTTGAGTCCTCATTAACACTGATTATTAGTTCTTGAGTACACAAATTGTCAAACGTAACATCACGATCCCAATCAGACAATATCTATACATTCACAATTAAAACTTCATAAATAAAACCGATTGTTATAAAACAATCGAATCGGAATCGCATTAGGATATGACTATAGTCCATCTGTTTAGGTACTTAAATAAATGTAAACAATCTTGAGATGTCTATTTAATGAAATATACATTTATAAAATGATTTTCCCTTACCTTCAAATACAAAATACAAATACTTAGCTGCATATGAAATTGCATGCCTATTTTTATACCTATTGATTTGTAAAGCATGTGTTTCAATAAAAAGATGTATCAAGATTGTTTACATTTAGTTAAGTACCTAAACAAATGGACTATAGAATTCGATCTGTCCAAAGTTAAATAAACGGTTAGACGGAGTATAATGTGCCATGTGGTATTAACACAGCAGATTTCGTTCAGCGTCAGTACATAACAAGTGTTATACATTAAGAAACATTCTGTTTTGTCTTCTACAAATAACAATAATACGTTTTTTTTTTCATTTAGGCGACTTAGGTCACGTAACCTGCACATCATCGCCGTCAGTGGAAGAAGGAGATTGCCGCTATCTGCCCAGAGAAGTGTTACAGGAAGATTTCACGCATCTCGCAAAGGCAGACATCTTTGCTTTCGGTAAGCGACAACACTGTCCATATCGTTTCGTCCACCAGGATCCCCTATCTCAGGGGATCCTTGTGAACTCAGTACTTCATCAGAATCCCCCGATGGCGGATACATAACGTTAAGCCCCATTCACACTATGGTATCTTAAAATAAAGCTTCCAAAAAAAAGAACAATACACTCTTCTTATCTATTTTTAATAAAGGGAAATAATAAAAGTGAAAAACGGGTGAAAAAAGCCGAAAAACATATTAAATTGCAGCGAACTGTGTCTCGTTGTAATACTAACTAAACTGCGTTAAATGGATACTATAATTTACCTAAAAACTGTCCTACAGTTATATCATTATTCAATAATTCCCGCTGTACTTCTTGGATGAAATCATTTGCGATTTCATTTTTTTTTGCATCTTTTCTTGACTTGTCGTAGCTTTTGTTCAGAAACTCTTTTCAGTGCATTTAACAATTGTGTGATGTTGGGTTGTTTACGGCCAATCATTTAAATTGAACCTGAGTTCCAGCTTTCGCTAGAATTGTTAGTACTATGTCTTTCACTGAACACCGACCAAATTTTTCTAACGTCGTCCTTCTTGACTGGCGTATTTCATATAGTTTCCTACTTCAATATGTGATTGCAACTTTACATACATACGTATGACTTAGGGGATTGTAATGAACTGTTGAGTTCACAAAAATCCCCTGGGGGATTGGCCTAGGGGATCCTGGTGGATTCAACGGTCCCTATCGTCCCTCCACACTACCTGTCGTAATTAGTATTAATCAATTAGTACTGCCACTTTACCTATTCTGCCGCCAAGAATAATTTCATAAATTTTATAAATATGTTTGATAATGTCGTTAAGACCCAAAATTTCCTTTTCTCTAATGCTAATAAAACGAAATACAGCCTGGTGTAGTGTATGTGACATGGATGTAGAAGCCCGCAACCACAGTTTCCAGGTCATCATGCGGAAGAAAATTGTGTCTGTGTTGAGTCATGTGAGGCAACGTCTCAGGAGCATTCGAAATGCTATTGCAAGGAGATTTTGTACGAGCAAATTAAGAGTGTTGCACAATTTAATTTGTTTTGTATAAAATAGTTTTTTGTTATGCAAGACTGCAAAGTTTTCGTTTGACGTGAATGCTTATATGGAAAACTAATAAAGCGAAGGGCGCTAAGTTTAAGGCTAAGTTAAAAATAGAACCTTGAGCTTCAAGTCACGAGACGCAAAACAACTTTTCTGCCGAGCGAAACCCACAACTTTTCACCTCACTATACCGAGGAAAATAGCGGATGAAAGAAAAACAAATGAACTATAACAAATCAGTTTTAATAAACAAAATTAGTTTAAGAATAAAATATGCCAACGGATTTATATTACAAAAATAATGGACGACAAATCTCTTATCATTGTGTTTTCTTATTTTCATCGAAAGAAAGAGTTTGATAAACGCTTTTGCGCGAAAATTTCTAATGAGAAAGAATGGTTTACCCGATTAATGATGTGAAAAAAGTTTTACATCTTTATTACGAGAATAATATCAAATATGAAAGAAATATGTATTACCGACTTATTCCCATTCAGGTCTGACCCTTTACGAGGCAGCCGGCGGCGGCGCCCTACCACCCAACGGTCAAGAATGGCATGACATCAGAGATGGTAAACTACCTGATCTTCCTAACGTCTCGAGGGAGTTCAACCAGTTACTCAAGGTAATAGAAATCACACCAAGAACATATTCCTTATATACCTCTCTTAAATAATAAATCTCAACCTTCTTTAAAGAATGGCATAAGTGGAGTTACGTCAAACATGTTTATTGCTTGCTCCATTAAATAACGAAAAATATAACCCACATCCTCTCCACTCCAATTCTTGTAACTCTATCTACAATATTAGTCGCTAGTTACAAGAATTGGAGAGGATGTAGGTTATATTTTTGTGTATTATAAATAAGACTTTTGTTTATTTGCAGAAAATGGTAGACCCCGACCCCGCCTTGCGTCCCTCGGCGACGCGCCTGCGCAAGCATCCCTTATTACACCCGTGTGGCAACAAGAGTAAATCGCAACTGTTAAGAGAGTTAGCTGCCACTAATATGAAGAATGAACTGTTGTCGAGAAAACTGCAGGAAGCGGCAAGGTAATTGATTACGTTCAGTACTTACACCTGAGGTGCATGAAAAGAGCCCTATCTATGCCATTGATACTATAAAGAAGAAGAAGAAGCAGCTCCTTGTGAAAGAGCTCGTCCAGGGAAGTACAGCCAACTTACCTATTTCAGCCGCCAAGCAGTAATGTCAGCATTACTGTGTTCCGGTTTTGAAGGGCATGAGGTGCTGGTGAAGTTACAGGCGGTTTTTTTTTCGAAACAACGTTTGTTCGAATTTTCATTACATCGAAAACAGAATTATAACGAAACCGTTGTTCTTTCAGTATAATATGTTGGATGTTTATCGCAAAGACGTCATTAGGTTCGGTTAGAAAAATCGGTTTCGGACTAGTGATAGGTAACCATTACAGGCACATGGTATTTGTCAACTTATGTCTCAGGGTGATGGGCACAGTGGCAGTGACACTAATATCTTTGAGATTTAATGCTCTGAGTGGCACTGCAACTGTTATGGACAGGCGTGTCGCTTACCACCAGGCGCACGAATTGTTCGTCCCGACATTTGGTGTTATAAAAAAAAACTTGTGGATTTAGTTGTAAATAGTTTTTGCCCACGATATCGGACGTGATGGGTTTTAACAAGACGCCGAGTTAAAACTCGAGCGCTAGCCCGTGCCTGACAACGGCAAAAAAGACCTTCCGATAGTCCCTCACTTGCTATGGCACCTGATGAAAAGGGTCATATCGACCCCTCCTACGTAAAGTATCGTATGTCGAAATTGCCAAGTTTACAGGCGCGCGTTTTAAAGTTTTGAATTGACTGAAATGGGCATACACGTGACTTTTTTTTTTCTCAGTGATATTCGGCAAATTATTACTACTCATATAGAGTATTATTATAAAATCCTAGATATCGGTTAGATGATCTATTAGATGATCACTCTTTCTGTGAATTCAGAACTTTAAAACGCTCCCCTGTAAACTTGGCAATTTCGACATACGATACTTTACGTAGGAGGGGTCGATATAGGTGTTTTAAATCAAGCAATTTTATGCAATGTAATGTAAGAAAATTTACATAAGTACTGCTAAATTTTACTAACAAACTATGGATTTTTTTTCTGTAATAAACTAAAATTATCATGGGTTTATTAATAACATTTATTCCTATTTTTTTAAGTTGATTGACTGTCACGGTGTTTGACCACCATGATATTCAATTTAGTTTTGTGAAAATAGTACCGGCACGCTATGATGGCCGTTTTGACGTTTATCCGCTCATAAGTTTCGTATTAATTCATAACTACGTTAAAGGAGCTAATTGATGTATACATGAATTTTTTTTAAATGAAATCTAATCCGATCGTCACTTATAGGATTGCTGTCCAGTACCACTTCTACCTCCGGCAAACTCGCGTCAAAGCTCAATGCAAAACAGAGCAGTTTCGAATTAACGAGTTGTTATTAAGTAAACATATTTATTTTCATTTTTATACTAGTTATAAATCTAAAACTTATAAATGCGACTCGCATTTGATTATATTTTTTTCGATAAAGAATTGAGATTTGACCTCACTATTGCAATCTGTCAAAACGGTCATCATAGCGTGTACTGTAGTTTGTAATCATTATCAATACAAAGATCGAACATTAAGAAAAAATTCCACCGATCCTGCTGGATTCGAATCAACGTCTTCCAGCAAACCGTGGCAGACGCTATGCCAACTAAACCACGGAACGAAATAGCGGACCTTACGAATTTTTCTAAGTGCTTGTTGCAGATCCTTTATTCTTGGTTTTTAACTTTTACGGTTTCTCTCTCAATTGCAGATGCATCAAGTCTCTAACACCGGCCCCAGTGCAGGAATCTGCGAAATTCCGTACGCGATCCGCCAAACGGCTCCAGCCCGACAGCTACAGAAGAGGCTCGAAACCTCGAGTGGACGCGCAACTAGTCGAAATGATCCAGAGTGTCACCTCACCAAGAATCGGCAGACGCAGAAGTAAGAAGGACGAGAAGGCGTAATTTACAGCTGCGGTAACATTGTCGAGTTAAAAAGCGACATTTGACGTTAAACAACACTTGAGAAATAATCTTTTTATAAATCGTATAATATAATAGGAGATAGTGCAATTACGCGTAGCTAGCATTGGTTTATGAGTTTCCATTTTGGTAATTTAGTGGCAATGAAATCCGCGTAAATATCGTGGCAATTTATTGAAATCTATTGTTACCAGTCCGTAGACAACAATGTTTACTGTGCAAAAATGAAAGTTGTAGCCATTGAAATACCAAAGTAATAACGTTAAATACCTGTCCTGTAGTAATCTGGTTTAGTGCAGGTATGCGCTTTTTACCAATACTCAGTGTTGCCACCTTGCCCAGGGAGGAAATAGCTAGAGCTAAGTAAAACAGTAGCTAGATTCTTAAGAAATTAATTTTGATAAAAGCAGCCAGAAGTGTCTAAACAATAACAAAACAGTACAGAGTACTAAAAAAACCGACCTCAAAAGTTATTCATCCCCTAGTTTGCCACCCTTAAAAGGTGGAATATTTTCTTCAAATTTAAACGAGACTACTTCTGATGTACCCTCTTTTCAATAACAAAAGAATCATCAAAATCGGTTCACCGGAGTTATCGCGTGATGTACATACAAAAAAAGATCCTCCCTTTTTTGAAGTCGGTTAAAAACTATATGAGATGCTACTTACTACATTTTACTAATTATAAATCCAAAAGAATATCATCATTATAATCTTGTGATGTTGAAGGTTCACCTTTAGTTTTGATTGACATTTTTTCTAGTTATTTTTTGTTTTCCTTTATCTGAGATTGAGTAAGTTTAGTAGTCTCTGGTCGTCAACATTGAATCTAAGGTTAGCACGTTAGAATGAGGCATGGTTAAAGCTGTCATTGCCAAAATTAACAACATTAATTTGTTGTTTAAAATGACTGACTGAAAATGATTAAAATATATAAAAATTTAGTTACCATTAAAAATTTGTAGTTGCTAACAATTTCGTAAATGTGGCTAAATGTAACTAAAAATCGACTAAAGTGGCAACACTGCCAATAAGTACTACACACGCGGATTTGTACTATCCCCGAAGATATCACACTATGTTATTATATAGATGATGGTTTCCTATAGGCTTTTGTTACCTGAGCGTGGATCATTAAAATTACACTATTGTTTTCTTAATTCGAGTTTCAGGGATATAGACGAATATTATTGCATTAAGTGTCACTGTGATCCCCATATGTGTATATAGTATGAATCATTTAATAATAATAATTAGAGATGCCACGAATATTCGGCTACTATTCGGTATTCGGCCTCTTTTTTAACATTCGGTGTTCGGCCGAATACTACGACTATTCGGCCGAATAACGAATATCAAATGGACGTAGTTAAAAAGGATCCAATCCACATCCACTCAATTTCCGATATATGGCAGTCACTGTTTTATTTTCAAAATGTATAGTAACTCCAGAGATATTTATTTATGTTTACATGTTGAAATGTTTTTTGCTCATCTAAGAGGTTAGACTTTAGGAACCGTTTGGTAATCGTAACTCATTTTTTGATAATTTTGTGGATTGGATCCTTTTTGCTTAACTACGTCCAAATAATGTAAAAAAGCACATATTATTAAAAATGTATCATGCATTTTAATCACATATTATTGCTTTAATACATACAATCAATCAGTGGTAGGTTTTGATGAATGAAAACAATTTTTTCAGCATTGATTGGTAAGAAACGATGCTCTTTTCCTCATAAACAATTCCTGCTTCTGACAATAGCCTCTCAGTATAAACATTAGTGGCAAAACGATAGATAAATCTTAGCAAATTTTGACAAAATTTGGATACTGCTTTGCGTTTGCTGACCACCACTTGTAAGGATCTACCGTCCGATCTAGGCGAACAGTTTTCAAATAAAAATCTATCTCATGTGCAATAGAACTTTTCTCCACATCCTCATCATTTTGCATATTATCTGTAGCGCCTTCTTCAAAACATGTCTACAAACTGTCATGTATTGATTCTATCGTTTTGTCATTTTTCAACAAAAACACCCCGTTATCCTCACACGCAGCACAATGAGACAAGTCGTAACAAGTCGCGCGTGAATTGCGCACATCTTACGCCGAATATTCGGTATTCTGCCAAATCACTATTCGTGGCATTTCTAATAATAATAATAACGCACACACTGAACATAGCCCCCTAAATAAGCCCTTTGTCGCGGGTGCCATGGGCACACACATAGACAATAACAAATTACACCCAAACTCACGAGATAAGTATATGTAGGCCATTTAAATATTTCTCTCGGTCCGGGAATCGAACCTGGGACCTCTGTGCGGCATTGTAACCGTTCGACCACGAAGACAGTTCTTACATAATTCCACTTTATAATAGCTCCATCTATTTCCATGATGATTATGCCAATGTCAGTGTTGAATAAGACACTTTTACTTGCACGGTTGGATAGCCGATGATCCATTATGTACGATGAGAGTATGAATCGTAATTGGAAGTCCAAAATGTAAAACAAGAAATGTCGTTGTCAAAATGTGAATGCAGGTGTGCTAAACCTCCTATTTTTAACGGAATTGGTTCTCATTTTCTACAATTTAAATTATCTATTATAAAACGTTAACAAAGTCAAACGCACTTCGAAGACAAGAAAGCATTCTAGTTCAAGAAGCGAAGCGCGAATGACATCTATGACACGATAAAATAGCGGGAAAAAAATGTTTTTATTTTTTATTATAAATATTGTATTAAACGAAATTAAGTAAAAACGATATATTGCAAAATGTGAATTCTTTTAAGTTTTATCAGATTACAGCTTGAAAAGAGTTCTTCTTGTTTATTATCGTCAAAAATAGGACATTACCACTTAAAATGTATTTTTTTATACGGTTATCCCTTTCGTTTACATTTGCCATATCTAATAATGATTCGTACTATAGTATTATTTAATATTTCACGTAGTATACTCGAGTACTTAAATAACAAAAATTGCCACGGAATTTAGACAGAAAACTTACTCTTCCACAGAAATTTACCTTTCATGTACTAACCGAGACATAACAAAATTTTGCAATCCATAAAAACCTTATAACCAAACAATTAAGTAAATTTTTAATTGATTAAGCATAATTACAATGTTGTGATAGCGACATGTATAATATTTTCAAGAAAACCATCCTATAATTCAATTATGTTATGTCACTGCGTAACCTTTTATAATACCTCTAAAGTTAACAACATTTTTAAAACATACTTTTGATTATGATGTTAACGAGGTTAACAATGCAATCGTCAATGTCCTTAAAACTCGTATAGCTTCTAATCTTGGACTTTAAAAAAAGTACAGTCAAAAGAAAACAGTGTAACGTTTTTTTGTAGTAACTATAGGAAATTTTCAAATAAAATCATATTCATACAAATTTCAATCTCAATTAATTTTGTATGTGAATTGTTTTTAAGACACCATTCTCTGTAAAAAAAATATGTTTTAAAAATTAAGTTACAGGATGTTACACCACAATCTACATACAGGGTTCTTTGTAAAATACTAAACCTCGCAGGACTGTATTACTTTCATAAAATAATAATAATAAATTCATCATTTTTACTTTCGTACATAAATAAACATTACGGCTATCGTATACGCTCCATTTTTATTGAAGGTTTATCTGAAGTTGAAGGAGAAGTCGTTATCCGAGACCTCGACTGCATGAAGTTGACAACGACTTCACGCTTTATCTGTAAACGTGCAGTCAATCTGTTAGCAACCTTCCGTCTGACTACACAAATTGTTACTGCACGTGCTTGTCACGACTGTGGCGCTGCAACTGCGCTTCCAGATATTGTGTGAAAATTAATAGTGTCATAGACGTCAGACGTTCAACTGCAGCGCTTTTATAAGCGTCGGTTCTGTAAGCGTCAATTTGAAGACGCTGTTACATGTTTCACTGGCAAGTGAGATTTAGTTGCTATGTTTTATACAACTAATTCATCTTACTGACATAAACTTTGACGTCATTGTCGATAAGTATACATTGTCGGTCTTTATATAGCGCAGGACACACCGCCAAAGAAGCTAAGTAAATACCAAGTATACTCCGTACAACAAATTATTTCACTTTTGACATGCATGCCTCCGGTTCCGTATTTGTTTATATACAACAATACGACAACCATAGACAAAAAAGCCATACTTCCTGGACCCTTTTATTTTGTAATTTTAGTGAAGCGACGTGCTCTTTAGCCCGATATTTATCAAACCAACAGATTATGTAACGAAGATTATTTAAGTTGATAAATTTAGGTACCTGTCTAATAAATTGTAATGAAATGAAATTAATTATTTTCTCGATGCTGGTTGGGGACTGCACTGTGGAATAGAAACTCTTGTATAGTCCAAACAATCTTTTATTGACTCTCTTACTTCTCATTAACACACCTAGCATAAAATATATACTATAAAATGGTAGTCGCAGCCGTATTGTATAAAGGACCGTATTACATTCGGGCTAGCCGGTTTGCAAATACAGCGCTGTTTTTTAATACGGCTACCTCGTGTTCGGCCGTATTGTGATAATGATGCGCTTTACTTTTCATTACATATTTTTTTTTATTTTTACTTTTAATTCTTGATTACATAAATTGTCAAACGCAATATCACAATCCCTATTGAACGCACTAATTGATTAGAATTCAAGCTGTCAAAAGTTAAATGGTTGGACGGAGTATAGTGACTCTGGATATGTGCGGGGGTGAAACACGGCAGAGGGGCGACATACATTACATAGCTAGCGGGATCGTTGGGTTAGTTTAGTTAGCCTAGTTCGCGATGTGAATCGAAGTATGAAAAGATGCTCCGGCTACATGAGCCAAGCTAAGCTATCTTAGCTTCGTTAGTAGTGTGGCCTGTGCATAAGAATTGTTTAACTGTCCGTACAAACAATTCTACATATTTGTATGACGAAACTACCTTCGATTTATATTAAAATGTAAAAGTTATCTTTTTCTAATTTTAATTGAAATAAAATAAAACGGGTTGGTGTCAAGTGCCTTTGAGTGGATATAACTAAATAAAAACGAATATGTGATTGTCTGTGCTCTTCAATCGAATTTAAGTGTAATTTATAATGAATAATGTAATAAATAGTAAATAGATAAATAAATAA